TGATGGGGGTAACAGGTACGTGCCACCAAATAGGACTGTTCTGGTCCCAGGCTTCGGATTCAGATCATCTGGCTTGTGGGGCAAGTACTTTTCTCTACTAAGCTGTCTCAAGTTAATTTAACTAATTTATTTATTCTTATCACTTTTTGCAGCATTGGGATTGAATCCAGCACCTTGTCCATGCTAGGCAAGCACTCTACCACCCCCAACAATGCATTCTATTTTATTTTATCTATTTTGAGACAGGGTGTTTCACCTTGTGGGCCTGGCTGTCCTGGATCTTGCTCTGTAGACCAAGTTGGCCTTGAACTCACAGAGATCTGCCTGCCTCTGCCTCCCCAGTACTGGAATCACCCCTGGCCCCAGTGTCCAAGGGCTTCTAGTTTGTCCACATCATCACCAGACCTTATCATTTATTTCCTTTGGTAGTGGCCATCCTAGTGAGTATGAGTTGTAAGCCCATGGTTTTATGTCCTGTCTCTTATCCCCATTGACAGGCAGGCTATTAAGGGACTGTGCATGGACCCTGTCACAAGTTCCACCAATGAAAGGCACCGGAGTATTAACAAGATCTAAGGCAATGGGAGAAATACCATGTGTGTGGCTAGTCAGTGGCCAAACTGCAGAGCTGGTGCTCCAGTTGATTTGTAGAAGCAGGCAGACCCAAACCAGAATCCAGCAGGTTTTCTAGGGACCTATGATGTTCTGAAATGTAGATAAAATTGCAAAGGATCAAGAAGTAGCCCAGACAGTCCTGGGCAAGATGAACATATCTGTAAGATTTATGCACCTACATGTCAAGGTACATCATACCATTTTAGTAATTATGATAATGTGGTAGTGGCTCAGGAGTAGAAAAATAGACCAGTGAGAAGGATGGGAACATCTAGGAGGAGACGGATATACAGTTACTGGATTCCCAGCACAGTGGTTGGTCCAGTGCAGTGAGGGCAGGAAGGCTCTCCATAGGAAAGGGAGTCTTGTCTCCTGCCTCACATCATCGACAGGAATCAACTGCAGAAAAATAAGAGCCTTAAACATGAAAAACACAACAGTATGGCTCCTGGAAGAAACCACTGGAGCATGTCAGAACTGGAATGTTCACTCATTGGTGGTTGAAATGGAGACTGGGACGGCCATTTAAAAAGACCTGTCAAAGCCGGGCGGTGGTGGCTCACGCCTTTAATCCTAGCACTGGCAGAGCCAGGCGGATCTCTGTGAGTTCGAGGCCAGCCTGGGCTACCAAGTGAGTTCCAGGAAAGGCGCAAAGCTACACAGAGAAACCCTGTCTCGAAAAAAACCAAAAAAAAAAAAAAAAAGACCTGTCAATAGTATAGCCTGAGACTGAATATTCACATAACCCCTTCTCTAGAATGTTCAGAGCAGCATGGCTTACAGCAGTTCCGATTTGAGAGTAAAAGGCAGCCTAAGCGCCACATGGTGGCTTACACCTTAAAGTCAGCACTTGGGAGGAAGAGGCGGGAGGACTGCTACAAATTAGAGGCCAGCCTTGGCTACATAGTAATACCCTGTCATACATGCACACACACACACACACACACACACACACACACACACACACACACACACACACACACACCCAACAAACAAACTAAAAAACCCAAACCAACAATCAACTAACTAACCAAAGAAACAACTGACCAACCTAGCAATAATGTCCCCAAACTCCTGATCCTCCTGCCTCTATTTCCCGAGTGCTCAGATTACAGGCAAATGTGGTACTGGGGCTTGAACACAGAGCTTCAGGTATGCGAGACACTTCATCAACTATCTGTATGTCTTTTATTTTTATTTAATTATTTTTGTGACAAGCTTTACTATGTAGCCCAGGCTAGCCTTTAACTTCAACTTCCCAAATGCTGGAGGCTTTGAGTTTAAAAGGAGCCTATTCCTTTAAATAGTTACTGTAACAATGACCACTTGTCTGACTGATTAACCAATTAATTAATCAACACAGTCTTGTATTCAATGGTAGCCCAGGTTAGCCTTGAACTCAAGACAAGCCTCCTGCCTCTGCACCCCCAGGTGCTGGAATTACAAGTCTGCATCATTACACCTGGCTTTCTGGCCTGCTTTAAAAGGGGCCTTGCTCATCTTCTCATTTGGAGGTCCTCCTCCTTGGCCTTTGTCAGTATATCCTCAAGTTCAAAAAATAGCTAAGCGTTCATTAGGAAACTGCAGAGTGCCCCTCAGTCCAATTCATGAAACAGACAGAGTGAAAGGAAGAGGCTGTGCACTTAGCAGCGGAGGAGTGCACAGAATGATTTGTTTTCGGGATTTTTAAATGGAAAAGTCAGTGCGGCTCATTTATTTATAATGGGCTAAAACTTGGCAGCCATAGTTTAAAAGAGTGCGTGGGGTGGGGGTGGGGGTGTAGACTTGAAAAATTCATCAGGCTCGGCCATCTGCAGAAGGAAACAGAGCAGCTTTTGCAAAACACGATGCAGATGAAGACTTAATGGCTCGGAAAGTTGTGGGCATCAAGTTCTGTGAAGACACAGGCCACAGGCCACAGTGTGGGGCCGGGCTCCTCAGTGGCAGGGAGCTCCCTGCTGTGTGAGCATGTCCTGCTGTGATGCTGGGCACTGAGGAGAGGGAGGGAAGGGGGAGAGAGAAGCCGGGGGGGGGGGGGGGGGGGGTATTTTTTATGATACGATTCAATTTTGTAAAAGGGCTGGAGAGATGGCTTCGTGGTTAAGGGCACTGGATGCTCTTCCGGAGGAATCAGTTCAATTCCCAGCACTCCCATGGCAGCTCACATGCATCTGTAACCCCAGTTCCAGGGAATCCAGCACCCCTCTTCTGGCTTCTTTGGGTGCTATGATGTACAGACATACTTGCAGGCAATCCACCCACCCATACAACAAAATAAAATTTAAAAATATTGGGAAATACATCTTTTTTTCCCCCCTTTTCTACTCAGTCCATGTATTCTGTCATGAATAAACACTACTTTTTTGTTGGAAAAATGTAATCTGGTCCACAAGAGCTTGCCATTTTCAACAGATTACAGGGAGCTTTGGGCTCCATGAGGGCCTGTCTCAAGGAAAATAAAAAGGACTCAGTCTAGGAGATGAATTTTAATTTATGTGAAAATTTTATGAACTAGTTAATTAATGGATTGGATCAAAGAGCAGGGCCAGAAAAGAGTCCCTGTGAATTCTCCTTTGCTTTCTTGGATGAGGTCCTTGCCTATTCAAGGTCTCCTACACCTTCCCAGATCTGTCACCTCTGTAAACCTGTATCATGCCCCAGGCAGGAAGCAGAGGGGCAACAACCCAACATGTTTTATTTTATTATTATTTTTTTAAGTCGAAGCAAACTGGGTCTCTGAGATTTCGGAGGTCATCTTCAGCAGGGACAGGTCAGGACATCACAGGAACATCATTCCTTCAGTACAAATACTAGGTCCTGCTTAGAGGAATCCTAGCTCAGACATCTGCCAACTGGGCAGCACCATAAATGATTGAAAACAATCGGATGCAAGATGTTCACGGTTCCATTAATGGCTCAGCGCTCCAATTTCCTACCAGTGAGGAGTTTCTGAAGCGCTCTTGGCTAAGCAGGCAACCTCTATACATCCATTAGGAGACATGCCTTCAATACTGATGTTTTCAAAGCAGCCTATTTCTTTTTATAAAAATGTAATTTAGGAGGCTGGGGGGGAGAGGGAGAGAGGGAGGGAGGGAGGGAGGGAGGGGAGAGAGAGAGAGAGAGAGAGAGAGAGAGAGAGAGAGAGAGAGAGCTCAGTGGTTAAGAGCACTTATTACTTTTGCACTGGACCAGAATTTGGTTCCCGTTACCCAGATGGTTGTCCACAGCCCTCTGTAACTCCAGTTCCAGGGATATGATGCCCTCTTCCTGCATTTTCAGGCACTGCACAAACATGGTGCACAGACATACATGCAGGCAAGATACTCGTACATACAAAATTTAAAAAAAATTAAAGTTAAAATGTATCTAATTTAGATTATTAAAAAAATACTATCTGTGTTGTATATAGAATCAAATCCTTCCTGTCTGTCTGTGACTTCCAGCCTGTCATTCTTTCCCCCAGGTCACTTTGAAAACCATTTTCTCGAATATCTTTCTCAATAGTCTACATATAAAACAATCGGTGAAAACGAGTAAAATATTTGAACAGTCAAGCAGGCTGTGATGGTGCACACCTTTAATCCCAACACTCAGGAGGAAGAGGCAGGCTGATCTCTGTGAGTTCAAGGCCAGACTGATATAATGTACTTGTGCTGTGGGATGGTCTGTGTATGTCAAATTGCTCTGATTGGTCAATAAATAAAACACTGATTGGCCAGTGGCCAGCCAGGAAGTATAGGCGGGACTAACAGAGAGGAGAACTGAGATAACAGGAAGGCAGAGGGAGACACTGCCAGCTGCCGCCATGACAAGCAGCATGTGAAGATGCCGGTAAGCCACGAGCCATGTGGCAAGGTATAGATTTATAGAAATGGATTAATTTAAGATATAAGAACAGTTAGCAAGAAGCCTGCCACAGCCATACAGTTTGTAAGCAATATAAGTCTCTGTGTTTACTTGGTTGGGTCTGAGCAGCTGTGGGACTGGCCGGTGACAGAGATTTGTCCTGACTGTGAGCCAGGAAGGAAAACTCTAGCTACATACTTGAACAGTTATTTTTATCAAAAACAGATATGTAGGTGATAAGTAAACTCATAAAAACAAAAACCCAACATCCACAGCAAACAGAAATTCAAACAAAGGCACAATGGGCTGTCATCACACATCTTACATAAGGTCTCAAACTTGAGATTAGACTAAACACTGGTGAGGATGGGGGTGAACTGGGGCTCCCCGTGTGACATGGCACAAGCTGAAGAACAGCTTAGCATTTCTTAAATACTCAGGCATACATTTGCCACTGTTGTATTTAAAAACGGTGGGCAGTGGCCTTGGCAGGCGGGCGGGAGCCAAAGGGCAAGGCAGAAAGTCACTCACACCATGCAGACAGCACTCACAGAGGATTTTATTAAGGGAAGGGAAGGGAAGGGATGCAGAGTGCACCTCTGGAGATAAAGGCTGAGGAGAGAGGAGGAATGAGAGAGGAAGAGGGAAGAGAAGAGATGGAAAGGGGGAAGAGAGAAGGTGCAGGAGCAGCCTCATGGGAAGAGAAAGGAAGAGAGAGAGAGAAAGGTGGGCAGAGCCCACCTCTTAAAGCAGGCTTAGAATATGTACAAATGGGCTATGCAAATGGGGCTATGTAGGAGGACATTGTCAGGACCCTGAGCGGGCCAAGGTACTGCCTGCCTACTGGCTAGGTTCCCAAAGGGTTGGCCAGGTAACATCTAAATGCTAATATTTCCCCTTTTGTTTATTATTAAAAGGTGAGGAGTTAGAATCGGGTAGCACGTGAGGTGGGAATGGGGAGCTGAGTTCTTGAGACTGCTTCCTGCTGACTTGGGACGAAGTGGGAAGAGGGAAGTTGGGAGTTAGGGTCATGCACAGAGGGAGGTGTGAGTGAAGAAGCACTCAGTTAGCTGTCATCATGGAGAACTCAGGCATCTGTTCCTTGAGGGAACTGAGAAGGCAGGCTGCTAGGAGAAAAAATAGATTGTTATCATGGGCCCATGAGCTGGGCTAGCCATGGGAAGAGTGATAACTGTCGGAGAGAATGAAATGGAGATGTGCCCTGGTTGTACAGAAGAGGCAAGGGTGAATGAGCCAGACGAAAGAGTTGATATGCTCTTGAGTCTGGAGTGGTGGTACCAGCAGTGAAGTCCCAGGAGCTTGGAGGGATGGCACACCAAATCGAGGGGTGATGTGTTCCGGGGGTACAGGAGCCGTCACATTTGCTGTTTTTCTGGAGATGGGAAGTGCTTCTTTCCATCCTGTAAAAGTGTTAGTAAGTTAGGAGATAACAGAGTTTTTATAAGTGGGCATGTAGGTGAAGTTAGGTTCCTGCCAGTACTCACCTGGTTAGTGTCTTCAGAGCTGGTACAGGGGCTGGCATATCTGCAGGACCCCTTGTGGGTTGGCCTTGGCATGAGTATGGCAGGAGGGGCGGACCTGTGCCGGAACCTGCAGGTGTCTAAAACAACTGCAACAGATTTATATCTTGGTGTCATAGCAAAGGGCTAGAAACTTAAGGACTCCTGAAAATAGTTTGTAGTCAGTACTCTATCAGTTTATCAGAACTGCATTTATCAATGCTAAAACTTTGAACCTCTGAAGTTACATTGGAAACCAGTTTATCCTGTACCATGAAGTCTGTGAATGAGGCACATCTGTCTGTACTTTTAACAGGAAACTTACTAATGAGCTACCAAGGTGCTTGTAGCCTTGGGGTTGGAGGGGCGGGGGGAGAGCTCTAAAACTGGCAAATCTATTAATACCCTGGTCATCAAACACCATCAGATCTGAGAAGGACAAGTAAATGAGCAGGAGTGAGACAGCTTTCCAGCTACCTAGGCACTCCCAAGTCTCTACATGGTTGTTGGGGGGTAGGGGCCATAAGTCCCAGTTTAGCTGCTAAGCACAGAAGATCTGACAGATTTTTTTTTTGGAGTAGGCATTTGGGGAGACTGACCCACCTTGACTTTGCCGCATGTTATCCAGTCCTGGCAGGATCTAGGTAGCGGCTGGGGTGAAAGGTAGTGTTTTGCTCGGTGGCTGGCGTTGCCACATCCAAAGCAAGCCTCCAGGTGACAGCTCTTCCGTGGCCATCCATCTTCTTGGAGGAGATACAGGATTCTGCCAGGAGCTGGCATGTCTCTCTATCATAAAAAGCTTTCATATTAAATGCCATATTCTCAGATCTCTAAAGGTATTTGAGGATCAGGGGAACAAAATCTTTTAGGTATATCTAAATTAGACAAATGTTTGTGCTTAACTTTGAGAGCATATATAAGGTAAATCTGAACATACAATTTTCCCAATTAGTTACAGCTTACTAATGTTAGTAAAAGAAGGAGAGAGACTAGGTATCATCAAATAGGAATATCTCAGTCTCTGGCGTTTAGCTGTGGTCCTAAGATATATAAGGCAAAACCAAGTTTCAACAATGCAAACAATTTAGTTTCAATATCAACGGGCTTATTCTTAGGTTACACAATCTGGCTGCCAGCAAGAGTCATCCCTGTACATGAACACAGAGGTGCAGCTTTAATATCTCAGTAAACCAGCATTCTTTTAAATTCTATCTTTTACAAACCTTGTTTTTAGGACAGGACAGGAATTATCACATAGAAATCTATTTAATCCAAAATAATTCGAAGACCTGATGTCTCCTGGTGGACCCATCACCCTTACTAAAGATGGTGGTGAGGTGATGACTCTCCTTTTAACCTTAGTCAAGATGGTGACTGCCCACCTGGTCACCTCACCATGGCAGAGCAGACCATGTGGTGTTTTCCAGAGCAGTTTAAATCTGGAATTACAAGGTTTTTTTTTTTTAGGTCTTAAACCATACCAAATTTCTTAGCTTTTTTTTTTCTCTCCATAATGAGGTAGAACAGCATAAATAACTTTCTCTGTCATCATAAAATCTGAACCCAAGCGGCTAGAGAGCATAGCCAAGCTGTTAGCAAGACACACGGAACACGTAATTAAAAAACAAGCCAAGCATACTGTAGCCCCACTGACGCATTCCAACAGAAAAACAAACAAAAAGTTTTCAAAGGAAACAGTGTTAGCTGACCAACTTAAAATCCTAAAATACGAGTTTCCAGTATAAAGCAGCATGTAAGAGTCCATAAGAATGAAAGACGTTTCCTGGCCAAGGTGACGGAGGCAGTGGCGCTGGACACCGCTCTTACCGGGCCAGCCCACTGCTGGGCATTGTCAGTTCAGGGGCAAGCGGAGGCGCCTCGTGCACCAGAGTGCAGAGAAGGTGCTGTAGAGAAAACTGGGAAACAGAGCAGTAGCACAGCCGGGCGGGAAAGAGGGGACCCCATCCCTCCCGGGCTGTGGCATGGCAGTGGCAGCGGCGGCGGCGGCAGGAGGGAGCAAACAGAGACAGTACAAACAGAACGAGACATGTTGAGCGGAAGCATGAGAAGCCAGCAGGTGCAGAAGCAGGGAGCAGGACATAAGAGCAGCATCTAGCAGGCCAGAGCCCAAGACCCATGGCTTGGGAGAGGAGAGCGAACAGGACAGACAAGCAGACCTTTGGAGGAATCGTTCCTCAGTCTGTTGTTGAGATCACAGGAGGGAGGAGTAGGCATTGTTGTCTTGTCCAGGGAAGGAATTTTATCATTTCTTTACACACTGTGCTAGACACTAGGGGGTTAGGGATGCTCTTCAATAGCCTTGACAGGTCATTCAGTGTTCAGAAAGCCAAGACAGGCTGCTACATGCAGGGTGCCAAAGACGACAGACAGAGGCAGGGCATGCCCACAGCAGGTGCCAGTCAGGCAGTGAGAACCAGCTCCAGTTTGTGACCATGAGGGGGAGAGGGAAATGGAGAGGATGGTTGACTTATTTAATCTAGGGTGAAAAAATACAGAATGCTATCTTCACCTTGAGGTCTCTCATTTTTAGGAGACAACTAGTTAAACCTTAACCTATTGTCACTGGGTTAAAACCAGGTACCAACCACATTGGTGTGCTCCTCAAGAGATAAGAGATTTCTGCAAAAGGTTGGGTGTTTGAAGATGTACAGAATAAATGGGTTGAGATAAACGATCATGGCTAGAAGCCACATCTCTGAAGGAGGCAAATGGAAAACCACAGGGTGTCAGAGTGACAGTTATCAAAGGACCAGGCGGGAGGGAACAAAGTCTTCCAGCCATCATGGGAATTCTTCTAAGCAGGAAGTTCAAACTACATCACCTGGACTTTTTAGGTTCTAGTGTCTTCTGAGAGTTAGTATAGAACAGAGATTTGCACACTGAGCAACTCTGCTGAGCCAGGAACTGTAGCCAAGGTGAAGAATCCTGTTGGTCACAGCTCAGCCACACAATCTGTCCTCAGGACACTTGCTTTTCTCCCAGCTTTCACACTAAGGAAAATGTCCTGATGGCAAACATCTTCAGTGAGCTTCCAGACATCTCTGGCTATGAGACCAGGGTGCCCTGGGCCAAGCTCAGGGCCTTTTGTGAGGAAAGAGTTGAGCAAGCGGCACCAGCATCCTTCAGAGGACTCACCCTCAGAAGGGTACCTCTGCCTTCTCTCTTGGATGGCCTTGGTGCTGGCCAGGGCTATGAGTGAGGGTGGGAGAGGGTGGAGAGGAGGTGCACTCTGTCAGTGGCCTAAGCATTTCCTTTGACTTCACTGCAGTCCACCAGCACTCATAAAGAACGTAACTTACAGATGGGGCCCTCTCACAGCACTTGGATAATGGCATGCCTTTGAAATCATAAGGCTATGAAACTCTGAATGATTACTTTTAAGCAAAATCAGTGATTTTTATTTCCCTTATTTCTTAATCAGGCAGCTAGAGTTAAAAGATCTGTAAAACTAGTGTTAATATTTGACATCAAAAGCCCTCAAGAGCTGGGGACATAGCTGGGTGGTTGAAAACTTGCCTAGCATGCACAAAACCCTGGGTTCCACCCCCAGTGCAGGGAAAAACAAGCCCTCAAGACTCAGTGACTGAGCAAAACCCCAGTTGTGCTTCCTATCTATGGAATGGAAAGGCTACCTGCACGAAGGTGCTGGTCGTTATCTGTGTCTACATGGGAGTGTGCACACACATGGCAGCACACAGTGGTTGTAAGAAGATTAGGTCCCCAAGGAAGAGGCAGGTGGCACTTTAGAAGCTATGCTGGTCAGGAGGGAATGGCTGCAGTGCTGAGAAAGGAGAACAATGTGGTCAGATACAAAGGACTGTGGAGCGTGGGCTGCTGTGGAGGGTGGGGCTTCTCTCTGCCGTGAGGCAATGCTCTGGTCAGTCTTGCAGTTGGAGAACTGGCACACTAAAACGCCATCAGTACACTTTACAAGGCTGAACTTTACCTCCACGGACTGCATACCTTATACTGTAGTTAGTTGATTTCTGTGGCCCTGGGACTCAAAGCCAGGGCCTCCTGCATGCTCAGTGAGTACTGTACTATTGAGCTGTAGGCAGCCCTGACAGTGTTATCTTAAAAAGAGACAGAAAACATGAATAAGAACATTTGGTTCAAGACTGGGAAATGAGCTATTTCCATTTTCTGGAGAATCAAGTTCAAACAGTCATTTAAGGAGGTGAGGGCATATGTTTCTGACTAAAATACACATCTTTAGACTTTTGTCATAACCCCTGACGTGTTACGATAAAGATATTCTCCTTCATTAAAAAAAATTGTGTGTAGGTAAAGCTACCTTCATGTATGTCTGTACCATATATGCTGGGAATTGAACCTGGGTCCTCTGGAAAAGCAGCCAGTGCTCTTGACCACTGAGCCATCTCTCCAGCTCTTCTTTCATTCTTGAGCTCAAACACCACCCAACTGTTCATTCAAAAGCTTGGGGCATCTTGAAAAATCCTACACAGCAGTGACGTCACAATCCCAGAGTGGCTCAAGGTTATCTCACCAGTACAGACAGCCACAGGCATGACTACTGAGATATTTAATTTATTAAATTATATAACAAAATTTCTTCTAGACAGTCAGAAAATGCACATTTAGATGAGAACAAAAATTAAGTACAAATACAATAATATTGGTTCCAAGAAGCAATTTTAAAAGCAAAAAATTAGAAAGTGCATTTGGAAAAGAACAGATTTAAAAAAATCAGTATGGCATTTTTCATGAGGAAATCGTCTTCCATCAGAATAAAGTGTGATCCGAACTGATTCCGCTCCCATCTCTAAGAGCTACTAGGGTGTGATACAAATATTTTGGTACTACAATTTTAGATCAGATGCCAAAAAAAAAAAAGAAAAAAGAAAAAAAAGAAAGATCCTTTAAGACATGGCTCAGCCTCCCCAGCTTCTCACCCAGACACCATGCTTAGACCCTGCTTCTTGTTCCTGATTCCCCGGAGGGTTGTGGGGGCACACACAGGAATGAACAAGTCGAGTTCGGGAAATTCCACGTCTTTTCGGAGACCTACTGTAAAGGAGAACGGAGCACACTCAATCACTTGAGTAGGTTTGACTGCTCTGTCACATTTACTACAAGTGACTGGGCACAGCATTTACCCCAACAACTTACTATTACAAGTTTGAAAACTCAGTGAATTTCCAAAAATCTTGTCTAGTTAATGACAGATGATAAAGTCAGAAAGGTCAGGCCCATTCTTTTTTTTTTTTTTTTTGGTTTTTCGAGACAGGGTTTCTCTGTGTAGCTTTGCGCCTCTCCTGGAATTCACTTGGTAGCCCAGGCTGGCCTCGAACTCACAGAGATCCGCCTGGCTCTGCCTCCCGAGTGCTGGGATTAAAGCCGTGCGCCACCACCGTCCGGCAGTCAGGCCCATTCTTAAAAGCCACTTCCTTAGGTTCCGATCATCAGCAATGAGACAGGGTAGCGATGGGGGGGAAGACCAAGGTCACTCAACTCCATGGCCCCAGGCCACAGCATCACGGGACCAGAGAGCACTTCCACCCAGAGATCCACACCAACAGGGAGGTGCTCAGGTAAGTATCTGGTTCTAGGCACCTGGTATCCTCAAGGTAGTTCTTTCCTTCCCTGTTTCCATTCTTAACTTCCAAGATTCCCGCATTTGATCTGAGTACCAAAGAAAGGGGAAAGACATTCTCAATAAAAGGAAATTTGGTATCAAGGAGAAGGGAAAAATAAAAGGTGACTGATGCAGGTGGCAGAGAACCCTTCAGCATCACTGAAGTCCAGGGACAGCCAGGGCAGGCAATCTGCTGCAGTTGTGGATCTCGGGAATAACTTAGTGAACATCTTTACTAAGTCACCGGTACACAGCCAGACAAAACTGTAGGAACTTACTGTTGGGCCCAGGCATGGTGGGTGGTCCAAGGTTCTCAGAGGCTGAGGCAGGAGTCACTCTCAAGACAAACACACACTTGGAATTTTTTCCTGTTTGTTTCCATTTTTTCTATCTTTTAGTGAAGTGGGAAGTTTTGAATGGTTACTAAAACTATTTTTTTAAAAAAGGTATTCTGTAAAAATGATGGCTACAGGAACAAATCTTTCCTAAGAAGCAGCATTTCACTGGGATCACAAATCAAAAAGGCCTCTGACCTCAGGCTCTGACCAGAACTTCTTAACTGCCAGCTCCTAAGCCTGAAAACTGGGTATGTAAGCCCAAAGGGAAGAAACGAAGACAACCTAAAAAGTTACAGGTCATAAAACTGAAGTTCCTATAGGCTACCACAGGGTCCTGTAAAGGGCAGAACCGGAAGGGAAGGAGCACCCCTCCCTCTCGAGCACCACACTGGGAGGTCAGTCAGACCCCAGCTACAGACCCCAGCCTCTACAGCGAGTGTTCTCGGCATCCTTGGAAGAACTGGTTTACTCAAAAGGAAAACAGGCAACATAATTCTATCTGCTCATCTGAGCACAGCCGACTGGAGCAGCCCACCCGGCCCCAGCTGTGTGCTGTGCTGTGGCCCACCGGGTACCAGGCCCTGCCCTGGCTTACTCTCCCTCATCGGCTTTAGTGGATGAACCAAGTAATCAAACCAGTAGAAGACTGGCAGTATATTTAAATAAATAACTTTATTTAGGATACTTCAGGTTTTATATATGCCCACTATATACCCACCAAACTTCCACAAAGTCTAGCTGAGGCACAACCACCAATCAAGGCCCTTTGAAAAAATCAAAGATAATAAAATGTCAGGGAAGAGAAGTTCTGTTCTCCCAAGGAGAATTTAACAAATTTCCCTGATTCTTTAAGGTCCACAGTGGGAAATTTAATTTCCTTTTAAGGGCATACCCAGTCAACAAGCTGATTAACCCATACTTAGAAAAATAAACCCCATAATTAAGAAAAATATATCAAATGCCTTTCAAACCCAGAATGTACTAACACTTCAACACTAGAATGACAAACCTCTCCTCTCAGTCAGTCCCAGACCGGATGTCAATCTACCCATGAGCACTAAGTATATCAAGTCCGTGCAGTGGCACCATCCCCACACCATGAGGGGGTGAAGAGCTGCACCCTAACATCCTCTCATTGCCTAGGGTGCCAGAGGCTAGTCCAGTGGGACTAGCAGCCTTCTCTCTCGGTGAGCACAGATGTCGGAGGTCTTTAAAATATCTGTTAGTTCAGTAAGACAAGCTATCGATTTCAGGTGCTGAGAAATGGCTAACCTCCAAAAGCCTTTACAACTCTGTCACTGTCCATAGCAATAAACAGGTGCAGACAGGAGTCCCAGGCCCCTTCACCAATGAGACTGTGGCCTGGGGGTGCAGAGGACCCTAACAGATGAGGAATGAATAAACAGATCCTCACAGGGCAGAGTTCCTGTGAACAGGCTGTAGGGCACTGTCACTGGAATGACATGGAGAGCCACCCCTCAGTGTCTTCTCACGTGTGGCTCATGAGCAGACTTCACTGAGAGCCACAGTCCCCTCCCTCAGTTCCTAGTATTAACCTTCACATGATGAGGGACCACTAGGGGCAGTGACAGACACTGGCTGTTTGTCTGTCATCGAGTGGAAACGCAATTTTATCGTGTAGAAGCAAATATTAAGCCAGTGGAAGTAAAAATAAACACTGACCAGCTCTTCGGTGCAAGGCCTGCACTCTTGATGTATTCCCGGTCGTATAGCTGACCCAGTGCTCACAGGGAAACCGAAAAGACACGTTCTTTCTAGAGCGCTCTCCATTTCAGACAACCTCAACCATGATGAAGCTGGACTACCAGCATCTTACAGAACTGGTGCAAAATGAATTTTTCTTGATGGCCAAGAGTTAGGGACACAGAGTAGAATCTAGATCACAGAGTATCAGCCAAGGACAGCTGATTTCTCATCACAAGTGTTAAATAAAAGGACAAGAATTATTTTTATTCACATCCAATCTCGTGGCTGAAAGCAAGCCTTCTTTGGATGTGGAGAGCCTGGTGCTGTGAGGAGTCCAGCTATGAGGCCCGCCGGTCATCAGGCTCCACCAGTGACTAAAGCCCAGTTCTTGGCTTCTGCTTGCTTACCTCCTACGGAGACACAAGCAACTGAAAACCTTTTGTTGTTGTTTTTAAAATTAAAAACAGAGTAATATGTATTAGAAAAGCTAGCACAGAAAAACTGTGGCTTCAGCTCAGTCTGACCAGGTCCGAGTCATGGGTGGCATTAGAATTCATCTGGCTGGCAGGCTTGTGGCCAGGACAGTCTTTCCCTTCCTTATTTCCCCACTCCAGGGCACGGCATGAAGGCAGTGGGCAGAGTCCTGGGGCTGTCCTTTCAGTGGAGTGCGTACAGCAGCAACAGAATGGTACAGACGCCGATGACCGCGCCAAGGATGAGCGAGTCACGTCGTTTCCTAAGGTTGATCCTTTGTATCAGGCTGTTCACGGCAGGAAAACGGTCTTTGAGAAATGTGGTTAAGGTCAAACTTGAGAAGTCTCTTTAATGAAAAGTCACAGGAATCCCAAACAGCAAATGATCCCAAACAACAAATGTCGAGAAAGCATGGGAAAGAGAAGAGCAACCTGCATTCCCAAACTGGGGAGAACTCAATCCACCCAGGCTGCAGAGTGCACCAGCAAGACGAACGGGAAGAAGAGAACCAGTGGAGAAATAAGACAGTGCAGAGTCCGCCAGGGCTTCTGGGCCGCCTCTGCAGTTCCCTTTTCTGTCCTGTGCCCTCCCCTCAGAGACAGGGGTTCTGAAGAAAACCCGACCCTTTCTGCCCCAGGAAGGAATCCTTCTTGGGCTCAGGCAATTGGGCACTAGTGAATTATTCAAAATTTTAGGTTTACTTTGCAGCACTCTGTAATAGGAAAATGGGCTAAATGCTCTAGCTGCTCTATTTGGGGAACATTTTTTAAAAAGAGAGAGAGAAAGAAATTAGGAAATTTTCAATATCGGGCTTAGATAACCATCCCAACCATATTTGAGTTAGTACTTCAAGTCATTATCATACTCCCTGCATGTGTAGACCAAAGCGGCTGCACTGCTCCATTCTTCTGGTGACACACCCTCTTTGTTGGCAGAGACATTACACCAAGATCAGAAAAAGCAATGACCATCCTCTTCTTGAGAAATGTCAGTGTATTTCCCCCATGACTATTACAGGGACACATGTGCTTGTGTATGTACAGATGCTACATCTTGTATGATCATGACTCTAAAATGTCTTCAATGTCTGGAGTACATACTCCTGGCATTAGTGTATTTCTGAATGGGAAACAAAGTAGTAACTGATAGAGAAACAAGTTTAAGAATCAGGAACAGGACACACATATCAAAGTGACAAAACCTTTTACAAAGTAAAACCTTTTCACAGGGAAAAATCCTCATTTTTTCGTGTTCAATGCAGGGATAAGGGATTATCAGGGGCTGGAGAGATAGTCAGAGGTCAAGAGTGCTTGCTGCATCCATATTCCTGTAAGCAGCAACAATAAAACCCATTGGTTCACCAAGCTGGACTTTGGTGGCATCTGTACTCTGGTCTACAGCGGTCCCCATATATGGGGTGAGTAAATGAGTGTGTTGCATCACCCCAGAAATGACATGCATTGACCTTTTATATGAGTTCTGGAGATGCAAACTCACACTGGGGACAGAGCGACATCCCCTGAGGGGAGGGGCAGTATGGTAATGATTTGATTTCATGGAAATGCATGAAAATTGCACTGGGGGCTGGGGAGAGGACTCAGTGGACAGACCTGCTTGCTATACAAGCTTGAGGAACTGAGTTTGAATCTCCAGGACTCACATAAAATGTCAATGCATAGTGTAAGCATCTGTAATCCTGGTGCTCCTGTGGAGAGATGGGGAGGTAGAGACAGGAGAATCCCTAGAAGCTTAAGGGCCAGCTAGCCTGAGGCATATAGCTTCATACAAGAAACCCTGACTCAAACTAGGTGGAAGATAAGGACAGGCATCTGAGGTCCTCAGATGCCACATGTGTGCTGTAGAAACATGCAATGGATGCATGCATATACACACACAAAGAAAGAAAAATCATGGGAATTTAAAATACAAATCTTCAAATACACACACACACACACACACACACACACACACACACACCAGTGGATCTAGGCCAGGCCACTTTTCTGAGCCTAGTTCTTTATCTGCAAAGTAAATAATTTCCTGTTTTTTCCCTTTTATGGAAATGACAAAATGAGATATGAATAGTACTGTATAAACTGTATAGCACTATATGAACTATGAATGACTTGGCATTGTGGTTTTTATACTAGACTAATAAGAAAATTGACAAAGGATTAGAAAACGCCCAGCAAGGCAAGGTATATCCTTTTTTGAAGGAGGAGGGGGATAGATTATCAGGATAAAAGTATCCTTATATTACTGTAGACCAGATGATACTCAACTTTTGAGTGCTCCCCCCCTCCCCCCAGCAATCCTGTTTTGACTTGGGAAGCTAAAAATTTAAAAACTAATAAGCAGAGACTCTACTCTGAACTTGGGCGAGTGCGGTCACCATGTTCTGCCTGCAGTTATGTGCACCGCACACAGTGGCCCCTCCCTTCCAGGTACCTGTGACAGACTCCAAAGGGGCGGTTAGAAACAAGGGTTGGGGAGGGAGGTTAAGAGTAACCCAGGCAGGGAGTACTAACTTGACCCAGAGTTCTTAAGGGCAAGAAAAATTTGTGACTAACTTTACAAATCTAAGTCTTTAGTATTAAATCTCTGGAGTGCTGTCCCCTAGAAACGGTGCTAAACCTAAGTTTACCACACACACAGTAGGAAGTCCTCACATGGTATAATTGCTTAGGGGCTCTATAGTTACTAACAGTGCTGGTGACCTGTACCCCTACCCCATAAAACAGAAAAAAGAAAGCAAGAAAAAAAAAACCTCACCCCACCAACAGATTTCAGAAAGGATACTGGCCAAAGTGTTCATTTTGCTGTGAATTGACTTGAGCATTCCTCTCTGGGAAGTCATGTTTTCTTTTGTTGCCATAGCAATGCTTCAAGAGAGGGCGAGAAGAGACAACTGAGTTGGCACTGGAGAATCACCTTGCTCAATTCATCACATCTCTAAAAGTACAGTGAGCAACCAATCCTGGAATGACCAGGCAGGAAATGGGTGCAGACCACCCAGCTACCTTCCCGTTGTCTTTTTTTGACTTAACGTTACCACTGTTACCCAACGCGGTCTTTGTTATGAGTCACCTCATGTTTTCTTCAGGTAACTAATGGAATCAGACACTAAGACCGAACTCACACCTTACAAAGTGCTTCTAATGGCTTGAAAAGGACCAACTACGCACTCTTCATCAGGAAAAGCTGCTAAGAATCACAGCTGTAAAACCAGCCCAAGCACGTCTCCACATTCAACCAGCTCTCCACAGAGACAAACGAGGTTTCAAGAGTCTAGGCAGGCAGTAGGCAGATTTGGGCGTTCACTAAATGTAAGGGAAAATGTCCATTTGTCACAGAATGTAGCCTCTTCACGTGGCCACTCCGACATCCTGTGGAGAATCTGAGATAGTACTCCTTTTGCTATCACTTCTGTGATCGTGTGTTTTCAAGTCTTCCTGCCGCAGATATTAGACTCCCAGAGGGCAGGGTCAGTATCCACTGTGACATGTGACACACAGGGAGTGCTTTAGATGTGAACATTAAGAAAATTGAAAGGGGGAAGTTTTGGGTAGGTATGATCAAGAATCACTGTACATATTTGAATAGTCAAAGAATGAAAGACACTCTAAAATGTATTTTAGAAAGAGTAACAGAAATTGGGGGAAAATGGTAGCTAGAGACACTTTCCTGGTTTACCTCTGACCCATTTTCCTCCACGGAGTGACACCAGAACAAAAGTACTCATGCTGAGGAAGGACCGTCTGAAGCCCTGTTCCCTTGTGTAAGGAAGAGAGCCAGCTAGAGGGCCTCTATGTACCTTCCCAAGCGAGAGACCCGAAGAAACACAGGGAGCCTGACAGCAGGAACCTACGAACCATGTGTCCTGAGGCTACAGCAATGGACTCAATTCCCCTTGGCACCTGTACTTGCAGAGACTTAGGGGCTACTAGTGAGATGCTCAGCTCCCGAAGGGGACAACCCATGGGGCCATCCATTGCTGGTAAGCTGCCGGTCTTCATGGGCAAAGACTCACAGAACCAACTACCAGGTGCTCTAATGAAGGGGGGTGCTAGAGGGATGACAAGTTAATCAACACTTTAATTTTATGATGGAGACGACAAAGAACGTGTAAGGGGATACCTAAAAGGATATTTACTGAAGCATTTTAGAATAGTGGGGGAAAAGGCAACAAAAATAACAGAAACACCCCACAAAGCCAGTGACCTCACAGAACAGAATCAGAAGGGCATAGGACGAGCTCAGTGGCACAGGCTCTTTGGAAAAACCAAGGAGTAGCCGTTAGGAGATGGTCACTGAAGCCAGGAAAGGAAGTGAGAGCTGCCGACAGACAAACAGGCGGTATGCAAAAGGAAGCAGAAGAGTGGGACCATCCTTTGCAGTGCTGCCAGGAAGGCCCGGAAAGCCAGCTGTGGGGCTCTGGCCAAGGAAGGCTCGGAGCAAGCTCTGTCTCTACAGCACATGAACTCTCCACTGCTGGTCTTGTAAATGGTCAGTTCCCTAGAGAGGCAGTGATGAAGGCCAGACAATGTCACGAAGCTCCTCGAATCCAGGCCATCAGCTGGGAACTGAGGTCTCAGCTTCCTGAATGCTGGGATTACAGGCATGTGCCATTTGGCTCAGAGGATCGATCCTTTGAAAATATCGGGAAGAAAGGGAAGCGGCAAAGAAATGGACCCTGACCAAATTCCGCCTGGCATGACAACAGGGCCGTGAACCAAGCACTCCTACCTTAAAGCAGCACTAAGGTCTTACAGAAAGGACCAATTCAAACACGGGACCATCTGAGTAGTGAGGACCATCTGAAACACAGAGGCCTCTGCTTCTTAAAGGGGGACTACCATTATCTCATGTGCACTCTGACTCACAAGTGGATAGACATTAAAAAATAATTTCCACAAAGCACTTTGTATTCCTTGGAGAGTAGATATTACATTAAGTTATTACCTTGTTGAATATGCATGATTTCCAGTACCACATAAAGTCTATCTAGACATACTTTCCCATCTTATCCCATCATCTGGAGTTGAGCTGAGTGAAATGTAGGCTATTATTTCAAGTGTCAAATACTTAGAGATAAAACATAAGCTTCATATAATATATAATGCTTTAAAAATGATAAATCATTTATATATTTACTGGAACTTCAGATTTTTTACCAGTATTATGAACTAAAAGCATAATTACCTATCTAAAAAAATTAATTTACCTTGTGTGTATATGTGTGTCTGCATGCATGCATGCATGCGTGCATTGCATGTTTCTGTGTGTGTGTCACATGTGCATGTCGAGGTCAGAGGATGATTGTCAGGAGTTGGTTCTCTTCTTCCACCAAGGAGGTCCCAAGGGTCCAGTCATCAGACTTGGTGGCAGACACCTGTATCCTTTGAGCATCTCACTGTCTCAGAGCAGTGGTTCAGTAGGAATGCTGAGCCCTCTCACTGTCTCAGAGCAGTGGTTTAGTAGAGATACTGCAGCTCTAGAGTTACAAGAGATTCCAATTTGGGGAGCTGAGTACTTATTAGTCATGTGACCACAACAAAGTCCTTAATTTCTTTTCATTTTAAAGACAGTATCTACTGATCAATGTTTATTTCATGAACCAGTTACTAAGAAGATTAAATGTCCCTTATAAAGGGAGGCCACAGTAGAAGTAATGCACTACCATCTAGTGAAATTCTCATCTCTTGAGGAGCATGACTGACCTTCCCTTTTGTGAACGGGTTGACTTGATCTGTTCATTGATCTGTGCAAACAAACAGCAATGAAGTAAAACAAAAACTATTCCTACCTTATTGTTTCTTCTATCAGACGGTCAGAGCTGAAAAAAGGAAAGAAAATTCACAGTTTGGAATTATTAAACATATACTTAAAAACATTTCTTATTTTTTCTATGTTTATAAACTTTACAGCCTTTTCTGTACATAGAATAATTAAGATTTTTTTTAAGTGCATCTGGAGAAAATCCTGAACTCTGAAATTAATTCAGCCACATGTAAAGTAATTTACATTTTGCTTAACTTAATTTAAACCTTCTGGTTTTTTTGGTGACATTCCTTATTATTAAAGTCTGACTAGTTTTAACGACAGTATCAAGAAGTGAAAGTTCTTCACTCTACATAACTCAAAGTTGTCACTACTATCCATTCAAAAGGTAAGAATTACAACCAGCTTGTTGAGACAAGGTAACAAACACAGTTCTGGTGCCTCTAAGTAGTAGTGTTCAAACCTCAAAGTTTCTTCCTTTTTGGGGAAATAGTTTTGTTCTATTTGAAAACAAACAAACACAACTACACCAAATCTCAGCTCCTGAAACTTGAGAATCCAAGAATGCGAACAAAGAACAACCATGCCCCCAACAGCTCACACCAAGTAAGAAACAGTCACTCCACGAGGAACATACAGAGATAAGCTTGGGACTTAGTGATGGGCCTTTACCAAGCTTAACATCAGAAAGCGCAGAAAGAAACAGATTTCCAGAATTCGGCATTTATCTGGCAGCTATAAAGCATGGAGTAGCACAGAAATAAATATTTGCATTTCCCCAGCCACTTTCTTCCAAAAGAATTACTCTGTTCACTCTGTAAAACAAAACACTGAGGTTTCAATTTATCAGTGATATAAAGTTCAATAAAGATGAGGTCCATAAGAATGCCATAAATACTTTGCTTAAGTTCTACAATTAAAAATTTGAAAAAGTAACAAAGATAGTGTCCTGGAACTCACTACAAAAACCAGGCTGGCCTCAAACTCGAGATCCACCTGCCCTGTCTCCTGAGTGCTGTGATTACAGGCCTGCACCACCATGCCTGGCTTACTTCAAAGTATTTTGATCAAACATTTTAGTAGGCAAAATAAAGAATTTAAGCCAGGAAGCGGTTGTGCACGCCTTTAATCTCAGCACTTGGGAGGCAGAGCCAGGCGGATCTCTGTGAGTTCGAGGCCAGCCTGGTCTACAGAGTGAGATCCAAGACAGGCTCCAAAGCTACACAGAGAAACCCTTTTAACTATAACAGAAATGAAATGCTTCGGAGTTTCCATTTATTTTCTGTTATATGAACGTTTTAAAAGGACTGGAGGGCTGGGAATGTAGCTAAGTTGGTAGGGTGTATAAACTAGGTGCAGTGGCACATGCCCATAACTCCAACACTTAGAAAGTAAAGGCAGGAGGATCGCAAGCTGAAGGTTCTCCTCAGCTACAGAAAGAGCAAGGTCAAGTTGGCATACAAGAGACCTTGTCTCCAACAAACAAACAAATGAACAATCAATCAAACAAATGAATAGGACTGGAACTTTGAAAACCAGATGAATCACAACATTCTATAAAATAGCACTTTGTAATTGGTTTTGAATCCTCTTATATACGGAGTAAGAGCTAACCAGAAATACTTTTTTTTCTTCAGCTCAACCTACATTATGGTCAAGGTTCAAGCGTGTGGCTATCTGAGCCCATCTCATGGACTTTTCATACCATAAGGTTAAAAGAAATAACCTAAGGGAAAGCAGCTTGCAAATGGCGTAACCTATAAGTCCGCTTGCTCTAGATCAGGCATTCTGATGTCTTTAGCTGCTCTTTAGTCTAGGGTCTCCTTTCACAATTCTAAAGACTTAAAAATGTATGTGTAAGTGTGTGTTTGTGTGTACAGGTGCCTGTGGAGACCACCAATGGGCAGGCCATCGGCTCTCTGGAGCTGGGAACTGAATGCAGGCCTCTGGAAGAGCAGCGAGAGCTCTAAGTCATGCAGCTTCCCTCCAACCCTTGTAGTTGTTACCATAAACAACTTCCACATCTCAGTCTAACTCAAAAGCTGTGCCTTATGAAGCTTCCCCTTATGTACCAGTGTATACAGGCAAAACCATTCTTCTTTACATTATGACAGTATATCCTCACATCAGTTCACTCGAGAATATAATACGTAGTGTACTTCGGATATTATGCTACAGAGAAAGAAAAGGGAAGGCTTTGAAAATACACCATCTCAGAGGCTATCACACTTATTTGTTTACTACTTCTCTAAGCAGTGTGAGTTCCCAGGGGTAAAGACTGAGTCTGATGCATCTTTGATTCCCCAGAGTCTAGAACAGTACCTGGCACACAGGAGATACTCATTAAATGCTTAATAAATGAATGGATAAAACGAGTAACAGACACTTCTTGCATTAATAAAATATCAATCAAGATTAGCACTGAAATAATCTTTACAATCCTGTAAGTATTCCACAGAAGGACACACACACACACACACACACACACACACACACACACATTTTTATAATCATAATTTTATAATTCCTCATTAGACATAGTTCCTCCATTTGAAGTCTTTTGTTTAAGAAAGGCATGTGCCAACTGAAAACAGATTTGATTTCACTACTGAACGAGCAAGTTCAAAGAAAAATGAGCTGTGTGTAATAGCTCATAACTATGATCCAGCTGTGGGGCAAACCTATAACCCTAGTTCTGAGGACATGGAGGCAGGAGGATCAGAAGTTCAAGGTCATCCTTGGCTAACCAGGTCATTCTGCTTTGCCATTTATTTCAATATTTGAGGTAACTGGACCACTTGAGACAAATCTGTAACAGAGAACCTTGAAAATAGCTCATGAATAGAATGAAAGACACACAATGGAACAAATGCCACCAGCTCAGATCAGCTGAAATTCCAATTCTCTACTACACAAATGAGCCCTGGTAGAGCTGAGGGATTCCTTAGGATTTCTTCAATGTGCTTCTCAGGTTTTACCTTCAGAACACTGCTGTCTGAGGACTACTTAACTACCATCATGTCCTTCTTGTCACTTGGGCTGACAACTCTGAACTCAGGAGCCAAACCAAGTCTTTGATTCCCTTTAAGCTTCATCTAGCTGGTTGTGGTCATGGCAATGATAAACTTTTTTTAATCAAATAATGCTTTGTAAACATTTTCTCTCTGCCTATGGTGTTCTCTCCTTGGAGTAACATTTCACACATGCATGCACAAAACCAGACTACGTATGCATGTACATAAATTGTTGCCCTGTAGTTACATGTGGATAACAACAAGCAGCAACTAGGAACTTAGCACCAAGGCTGCTGTGTAAACCTGCTGTCCAGATGGGTGAGTGGGACTGTTAACCAGCCAGCCAGGCTTCCCTGCCAGCAACCCCACAGCATATAACATTCAGTAATACTCAATACTCAAGAAAGCCAAGGTCAAATCCTTAAATGCCAGGATTCTGTATTATTTCACTCACTGATGTTATATCTGACCATTGTATAACTTGAATTCTATGATACTTATTAAACTACCTACAGTGCAACCATGTACAAAACTTTTTAGAGACTTATTTTAAATTATGCTAATTATGTGTGCACATGCATGTGCTGAATGCAGGTGCCTGTAAAGGCCAGATGCATTGGTTCTCTTGCAGTCAGTGTTACTGGTAGTTGTGAACTGTCTAATGTGGGTGATTGGGAAATGAAACTCCAGTCCTCTGCAAGAGCAGCACGTACTCTAAACTGCTAAGCCATCCCTCCAGCCCCATAAACACACACACACACACACACACACACACACACACACACACACACACACACACACACACACCCAGCATATAAAAACGGTTGTTGGTGTAGTCCCTTTCTCTTTCAGTATTTACTGTTCTTGTCTTTTTGGCTGTGATCCTAGCCTTCAATGGCTAAGCCATCTGTCAGACCTACTATTTACTTCTGTTGATCTTACATATGTACTGTGTTCTTATGTGCAGGGCGGGCTGATAAAACCTCGGCATGCATTATCTCTGCAACCCTGGGCAGTCTTTGCCAACAGAACCACTTTGAGGAACAGCACAGAAACAAAAAATCAGAGGACCTGGGCTCAAATCTCTGTGAGTTCCAGACCAGCCAGCACTACACAGTGAGACCCTGTTTCAAAACAGAAAGAAAAAAAAAAAAAGTCTAGTGGTGATTAGCAGAGTGCTTGCCAAGCATGAAGCTCTGAGTTCAAACCCCAGTACTACATAAGCTGGGCATGGAAGCACAAACCTGTAATTTCAGCACTTAGTATAGGCAGGAGGATCACGAATTCAAGATATTTGACTATGTAGTGGGTTCGAGGCTAGTCTGGGAGATACAAGACCCTGTCTCAAATAAAAAATCGAGCCTAACTAAAATATTTCTGCAAAAAACTTTAGACTATACAAATGACATGGCTGGTAAAATTTAAAATTAAATTAAAAATACCAAAACCCTAAACATAATTGAATAATGTCATATGAAAAATAATCAATAGTTAAAAGGCAATAAAATAATTCTTTCCTCATTTATAGACATGATTAGACCTAAGGTAACACAAATAGATATGTGTACATTCTCAGTGTCTGCTAAGTGGTCAACAGAATGAAAACAAACAAGTTATCAACTACACATTGTATGATGTGCTTTGTACAATGGTTCTGTATCTGAAAGGTTACTGGGAATAAATTCTTTGAAATTTCAGAATGCTGTTAGCTTTATCAAGTGACTTAACTTTAATGGCATTCATCTTTAGGTAACACAAGCTTGCATTCCACTTTAAACGTGAAAAAATGAGAGAAGCCAAGTAATGCGCTTTCACAGTAACTGGTCTTTTAGTCTCTATAAAATCAGGTCACGACGGTTCCTTGTTACAACAAATATAAAAATTTAAAGAAACAACCCACAGGAAGGCAGTGAGGCCTGGACAAACAGCAAACATTAGGAAAGGTGTGTTTAGTAAAAGCTATAGTATTAAACAGTTATGAGACCTCGACCTACATCCTCTCCGAGTCTTGTTTCTTCATCTGGACACAGAGGGATGCTTC